CTTTTATTTCTTCTTTCCACTACAGATACGAAATACTCTGAACACAGTCTCTGGCTTTCAGCATGGATGTTTCCCTTATAGGAGCTGTAATGAGTAAAGGACATAGAAACAGGCAGGCTACAGCCTCCATGGTAGGTTTGTTTACATTTGTTGACTGTTTGGCACATTGCAGAGATAAATCTGTAAAGTAATCACAGAATTTCCAGCTCTACAAATTCTAAATCCTGACATATAAAATAAGTGAAGAATATAAAGTGTGTGAGGTTTCAGCAGCTTCTTTGTCTGTTTGATTGTCATTTATTTATTGCATTCAGCGCTGTTTAATAATCATGTCTGTAGTCTTTTAAATGACACAGAGAGGGAGACTCAGAGTATCACAGATCTGCAGGGCTTATTCATGCAGCTAGAACATGTACTTTGCAGATTTTCTTCTCAGCCAGGAAGCCCAGAAACTGCAGCTTTTCTTATTTTTGCTTGACTCCATGAGCTGGAGATTCAAGAATGACCCCAAAAAGCATGAGGTCTGCAGCTCAAGTTGTATCAGTAAAAATGTGAATGACTTATCTCATGTTAAGGGCTGCTTACTTCCCAGGCTGGTGTAAATGGAAGCCATCTATCTTAGTTAACTCTCCTGATTTACTAACCCCTGACGACCTTCAGCTTCTGTAACAAGAAAACCAGACTGAAATAGCCACAGTGGAGAATTTCCAGATGTCAACTCTTTTCTCTGTGTGCAGTTCTGCATGTGTTTACTGCACTTGGTACTTAACAGCTTCATCGCTTTGCCCATCTCCCTGGCAACTGAGCCATATTTAATGATATAAAACTGCTAAAGTCAGTCAGCAGAAGGAAACATTTACTCCATCGCACCAACAATTTCTCTATGGACCCCTGTTTCTTTAATAATAAAAATGCTTCTATATCTTAGTGTGGCATATTAAGAAGAAATGTCTAACCACACAACAAAAGCTGAGCAGCACAACAAAGTGTTGAAAAAAATGCCAGGGCTATGTAATCTGTATGTAGCATGCTCCAGTGAAATGTAAATGATCAAAGGCTTCTGATGTTATTAAAGAGTACCCTTCCACTTAAGCCTAAAGATGCTTAAGACCACAACATAATGCTGCCTAGAGGTAACCACTCTGGCTAAACGCAGTACAGTCATTTCAGTACGGGGTTATGCTCAGTTGAATAGATAGCTTCTGTCTCAGCAAGGCTAATTAACTTAACCAACACACACCCCTTCCCTCAAAAACCTACCATATTGCTCCCAGTGCTGGAGCAGACTCATCTATAGCTGGAGGGAATCTGTAGCCAGTGATGCATTATACACTATGGAAATACTCAAAAAGCTGAACTGGTTTGTCATGTCTGAGGAGGTGACCCATTTTTCAGTTCCTTTCTTCTGGGTATGAGCCCTTTTTATCCTCCTCCACCTGTTCCTCTCCCTTTGTTCTTGCATCTACAAGCAACCAAACATGCTACTGCTAAAACTAACTCTTTTTCTTTTTCTTTTTCTTTTTCTTTTTCTTTTTCTTTTTCTTTTTCTTTTTCTTTTTCTTTTTCTTTTTCTTTTTCTTTTTCTTTTTTTTCTTTTTCTTTTTCTTTTTCTTTTTTTTCTTTTTCTTTTCTTTCTTTTTCTTTTTCTTTCTTTCTTTCTTTCTTTCTTTCTTTCTTTCTTTCTTTCTTTCTTTCTTTCTTTCTTTCTTCTTTCTTTCTTTCTTTCTTCTTTCTCTCTCTCTCTCTCTCTCTCTTTCTCTCTTTCTCTCTTTCTCTCTTTCTCTCTTTCTCTCTTTCTCTCTTTCTTTTTCTTTCTTTCTTTCTTTCTTTCTTTCTTTCTTTCTTTCTTTCTTTCTTTCTTTCTTTCTTTCTTTCTTTCTTTCTTTCTTTCTTTCTTCTTTCTTTCTCTCTTTCTTTCTCTCTTTCTCTCTTTCTCTCTTTCTCTCTTTCTCTCTTTCTTTCTTTCTTTCGTCCTCTTCTCTCTCTCTCTCTCTCTCTTTTTTTTTTTTTTTCTCCTATATCATGGCAAATCTGTCATTTCCAGCAAATGCCTGACTGCTGCAAAGGGCCAGTTTTGATTGCAACATAGCCCGTGTTTTCTGGTTTGGCAGTGCTGTTGTAAGCAGATTCTCTCCAAGAACTGTACAGCAAGAGGACACTTTGGGGTGTTGTATACACAATATGTGCTCCATATTCTTGCAGCCTTGTGGCAGACACTAACAGACTTATCACTGCAGCACTGAGTGTCTAACTATCCTAAACTGCAGTTGTAAAACTGAGATGATAAAATCTGGGCCCAGGAAGGTAGCTAGGTGCCTGCTTTTCCTGTCAAAATCCAGGGTTTTGTGTTGTTTCTACATACCTTTGTAGATGTGGAGAAGAGGGACTTTTTGTGAGGTCATGCTGAGCCCTGTGAAGCAGCAGCAATTGGAAAGGATTTTTCCCAGCACCTGGATGAACACCTTCACTGCTGCTTGGTAAGTCCAGAGAGTTCACTTATAGTGGGAGGAACTGCTGCTTATAAAAGGCAGAAGCCTATTTAATTTCTTTCTAAGACAGATGAGTGTCTAGTTTTGCAGGCCACTGTCTGTACAACAACACTCCTCTTCCTTCCACATGATTTGGAGAGACCCAATATCTCCCTCTGCCACCTGATAATTCCCCTATTCCCTTTTGGGCTGTGTGCTGGGAAGTTCACTCCTCCAAATCTGGTACAGCAAACCCTGCTTTTATTCATGCATCTCCTTCCTAATCGATCTCAGCTGGGAAAGTGCTTGCTATCACTTAGACACTTTTGATGAAGAAACAGGTAGTTTTTCTACCACAAGTAAAAATGGATGGTCACTTAACTCTTTTCAGCGCTGTGCCATATCCAGTTCTGTAAACTCCTCTAGGCAACAGACTAGGTTTCCACCACAGACAGTTACAAAGGATTTGTATGTGAATGCACACAGCACAATGGGCATCTGAGCAGACCTGCTGTGGCAGATGGGGAAAGTGAATGGCAGTCTTGGGCAGCAAAAATCGTTAGTAATTTTTGTTACCTTTTTATTATTCATTCTTATAGCCGATAGCCTTAGTTTCTTTCTGTAACATTAAAATTGTGCAGTGTGAAGCACAAAGTGTTGCTGAGTCAGTATGAGTTTTGAAGAGTCCAGGGCATGTTGTGAGGGTCCCACAAGAAACTAAAGGGATATCTGAAAATGAAATACTTCACTTCCACCCCCAGACAGACTAATGAAAGACACCGAGTGCTAAACTTTTAGAGTATACCTCTATCTTCCTTCCATTACTAGGATACAGAACTATTAAAACAAAATGAAAAAGAAGAAAAAAATGAGAGGGTTGTCCTCCTACATGCTGAATCTGCCTTTACTGCATTAAGTCATTGACATCCAGGGAACCCTCCAGAAGAGTGTGAGGGAGTACCACACTCTCTCACCATCTGCTAAGCATTTCCTGTCTTCCTACATGCTATGATGGTGGAAAAAACGGAAAACATCAAACTACCATATTTTTTCTTGTGGTTTAAAAAGAGGAAGTGCATATAAATATTTTGATTCCAAAACTTTAGTGAGAACAGCAATAACAAATGTTGTTCCGTCTGTTTGTGTTGTTTCCTTGCCTGATTTGCTTTTGTGCAGTGAAGGAGTTTCCAGCTAAAAGCCTTCCCATGGCTATTCAGTTAAATGAGGCAGGATGAAAACTAATAGTTTTCATCCCGCCTCATGGAACATGGCAAGCACCAGCAAATGGAACATATACCTGACATATCCAAGTGTCTGCATTCAAACTAGTACCCCATGACAACACATCTGTCATTGTACACCCTTCACATGGGCACCTGTGCTAGATGAGGGTGATAATCCTTCCTCTGGACATGTTGAGACACCCTCTGAACTAGGAAGGTCTTTGCAAAACCAGAGACATTTAAACAGTGTAGCTGTAGTGATCATGTCTCTCAGCCTGATCCATTTTCTAGTCCTCTGACGGCATAAACACACCAGTTCTCCAGACATTCGCAGAGCATTCTGGGACAGACAAGTAACATTTTCTCTTACTCAAACACAAGCAGGAAAAAGATCTTGAAGCCTTGCCTTCTGTAAAACTTTCAGGACTAGATTATAAAGCAGCAAAGCAGGGCAACTGGCCACTTTCACTTGTGTACTGCTAAGCAGCACAGCATTGCAAAGGCTCAGATATATGCGTTCACATACTTTTATTTGGATGGGTATAGGGTAAAAGAAGCAGAGGTACTTACATAGCAATGTACTTACGAAGCAATGGGCAATTTGTGGTGAGTTTCTTAAATGGATGAGTCTAGGCTGATTTTTTTATTTATGAGAAGGATGCTTACAATGCTTGGCTGTGTATCTATCTTATCACTGTTCTAAGCTTAGGTAAATATAATATCTTGGGAAAAAGAAATAACAAATATATATGTATTTTTTCTTCCTACAAGTCAGACTACGTCAAGCGTCTTCCAGTCCTGAAATACCGAGGACACTTTCTGCAATAAGCCTGAGAGAAAACTGTACGTTGTTTATTTTGAAAGTCATTAAATTCTTTAGTGATTATATCTGAGGACTTGTATATATGGTATGAAGTACTTCCCTCAGTTGGGAAATAAGCTGACCTGGGACATACTGCCTTGCTGATCAAATCCCAGACTTTATTTTCTGCAAACATGAAAATATGCCGTGTGATACTAAAGCAACAGGGTCCATGGCAAGCCTGGCAAACTACCAGTAAGAAGGAAAGGGAAAGGAGAAATGAGACAGTAACAGGTATGACGAGTTAATATGTGTTGAAGTATTTAAGAGAAGTGACAATCGGATCAGCAGGGCACAGCAGTGGAGGAAAGAAAAAACATCAAACTGTGGAGTTAGTCATTTATTTCTTTTAGAGAGGAAGGCTGCTCCACTGTGGCATGTCCTTGAGATCACAGAGAATCTTGAAGAGTAGTAGTTAGAAAGAAACACAGTAAAAAGACACAAAGGTAGGCGCAGTGAAAAGGCAGATTTATTTACTAATAATACTGTACAGAGAAAAAAAAAGAGAGAAGCCACAGTTACAGCATGGCTGTTGCTGGCAGTGTTCTCGTTTTATTTATTTTTGATTTTTTTTGTACTTTTTTTTTTTTTTAATCTGAAGAAAAAAACATAACAGTCAAAAAAGTACACTTCAGGTTACAAAGTACAGCAGCTATCCCCAGCAATTCTAATCCAGTGTTAGCACAGCAGTTTTTCCCCAATAAAATGGGTTTTTATATATACATTAGCTCACAAAGAAAGTGGGAGACTAAAGCTTAAAAAAAATCTCAACCACAACCTACATTCACCATAAAAGCTGCATTTTACACAACATTTTCTTGGACCCCTATAAAGAGTCATTTGTCTATGGATTGAACATGGCCAGGAGGGGCAGGAAACCTTCAGAAATGTTTTCTTTTGCCTTCGTCCTGACCTGCTCTTGCTTGGCTACCTTTGCTGTACAGATTCAGTGGCCACTGGAAATACAAAAAGCTTTGAAATCAATTTATCTCCTCTCTCTGCCCCTAAGTGGTGCCTACATCCATGCTTGCAAAATACAGGGATAAAATTTGAGCTCATCTTCAGTTAAGCACCTTAATCATAGGTGTGGGCTGATCTTAACATATTCTCAAAGCTATCCCCTAACCAGCACAGTGCTTAAGTATGTGTTACACTTCAAGCAAGTGCTTAAGGTCAGTGGAGCTTAAGTGCTGTGCCCAGCTGGGACTTTATGAGGTTGCACAGAACCCTCTTTGTTTTTGAGAACACTCTCTGACCAACACATTAATTTGGAGGGATACCAGGAGCTTCTTGGCAGCTAGTTTTATTGAGAATGTCTTTGCATGCTGGATCGGTCTGTGGGGAAGTTCACGTTTTTTCCTGACTCCTTTAGCCTTCTGGTAGCAACCTGACAATTAGAGGGTGGCTTGCCTTCTTCTCCCCTAAGTGGGTGCACTTCTGGGTGCACTTGGGCATATATATCTCATACTGGCTTTGAGTACTTAAAGCATTCCCAATAAAATGGGAAGAAAGACAGAAGGTCTACCTAAACAGCAAAGATTAAGTGAAACCCTCTGTTTAGGCAATCCAGGGGATGCCAAATGAACTGTCAAGGAGTGCTCCTCTGGTATCAAATTTGTCCTGTGAGTCTAGGAAAATGCAGGAAGAAGTCCAAACACCAAGGACAGGATACTGTCATTTCTTTTAGCTTGGTTAAAACTCAAGTCTCTCTTTTCTTCCCCCTGTTTTTGCTTATTGGAGACCACAAAAAGTGAAGCACAGAGAGGGGAAAAAAAAGGAGCAACTGAGCAATGGTGTCCAGAATGAGAGCAAGTACAGAGACAGGGGACAGGCAGAGTCTGGAGTAGAGGAGTGCAAAGGGGAAATTTTGGAAGAAAAACTCACACTGCTTCTTTTACATTGTGTTATTTTGTAATTTGAAATTCACCCCCACCCTCTGCAGGGCACTGGGGGTTTTGCGAGTGCCCAGAGGACATTCATCCACTTTCAAGCACAGTCAGCCAGGAGATCATGTCCTAAACTCCTCTCTGCAGAAAAGTGCACCAGTTTCACAACACCATTTAAAAAAAAATAAATAAATCTATCTAATTTAAGGAATGAGAAGACACAGTTAAAGCAGCATTAAGTCTTGCTTGTAGCAATATCATTTAAAGACAAGACCCTATAAGCATTTGTTCATGTGCTTAAATTTCACTTATCTGGGTCATCCTATTAAATTAAACAGGGCAGCTTGGGTGACTTATTTTATGTTCATGGGCAAGTCTTTAGGTTTACTGGACCTACTGAAAAGGTATTCGAGATCAGGTCTAAGTCAGTAACTTACAATGTAAGTTATGAATGTACAAATACATGCAAACTGGTGGACTTGAGTTACTTAGGTCATTCTATTTAACTATTGATTGATTGATTGATTGATTTTTCTATTTCTAAGGTAGTTTAAGCCTTTAAAAAATCTAAATATTCTTTGAGAAAAATGTGGGAAAAAATTAGAGGAAGGTTTTCAATACAATAACTACAAAAAAAGCCCCAGATAAGAGAAGTTTTTGCAACCTGGGGGGAAAGGATCAGAATTTTTCAAAAATTTGTCCTTAAGAAAAGTAGCCTAGTCTTACTTCATTGTGCAGGCTAACTTGAACTACCACAGGAAAAAACTTTATATATTTTGCAAGACTTTTTGAACCCATGAGGAAAAAAGCTCAGTTTTGTAATGCTTTTGATTTTAGACAAAAGTGGGATGTTTTTAAGAACTTCATGCACCCTTGTCACTATTTACAAGCTAAGTTATTACTATATGTTTATATTACAAGTTGAATTTATATTCTTTTTGGACTAAATGACAATCCATTCATATTCTAAACATAATAAATTCAGCCATTTTATACAATTTATTTGTTTACATACAAAAATTACAGTCCGCCTTTTTGCTGGATGCTGTCATAGCCTGCAATCTCCGATTAAGCTCAGAACTAAAGTTTACTCTTGCTGCCCAGAAGGCTCATGAAACATAATCTGAGCAAATCCTGAACTTTCTAACAGACAGAGAAAACTGGTTGAAACTGAGTTTAAAAAAATAAGATGCCACATTTCAGCCCATGGGAATATCCACTATGTTGTCTAAATTATTTTGTTACTCTTTCCAGTGGCACTATCTCTTGTATTTTGAAATCTCATGTTGGATAAATTATGACAAAATGAAAAAAAAATATAATTCTCCCTTTTAGCCATACCTCTCTATTGAATGTAGGTAGTTATCACCTGCTACTATAGCATTCTAGATAAACTTATTTGTCTAGCTATAGAAAGCATAGGTACATTTTTTATTTTTTATTTTTTATTTATTTATTTTTTAATAAATTTATTTCTTTAGCTGTGTTCATAGCAGGTATATTGGATTCTACTCTTGTAATGTTACTCTTTAAAAAGTGTTGTGATCCTACTTTCTGGAGAAAAATGTGGTTAGGTCTACAAAAGATCCCAAGAAGCTGGGCATTGTCATCAACGTATGAAAAAGTTCAAAGGCTCAATGTCACTGGTAGGATGATATTCAGAAACTCAAATCCCGATTTAGGATTTGTATCTCATTACAAAAATATTTATTCCTTAAAAAAATACACAAATGTAAAATACTACATATTCTATTATATCCCCACTTACTTTCCAAGTATGCCATTTGGATTTTGGACTAAATCAAAAGGTAGAATACATTTTATTTCTCTAGCAACTCTGTATGCTATCTTTCTGCTCCCATTAAGTTGTTGTATTTCTAATTTTAAGCATGAAGAACTGGTAGTGAATTTAGAATGTCTGGGGACTGATATAATAGCTGTCAAGGAAGTCCTACTTAATATTTTCTCATGAATACTACTACCATGGTAGCAATACTGACTCAGGACCTGATCCTACCAGATGCTCAGAACCGTTTTATTTCATGTTTTTCTTAGCAGAAGTAGCAATACTCAAGAGTTGGCCTCTAGGTTTAGACCACCGTGGGCAAACTCAGCAGTGCATAAAATTGGTACAGGTACACAAATAACACCCAAACTACACTCTGTGTTAATCATTCATGCCCTGATCTTGCAGACACCTACACACATTCCTCCTGCGAATAGTCCTGTTGACTTAAATAGGTCTACACACAGTAGAATTAGGCATATGCATTTTGTTTCCAGGACTGAGGTCTTTTATTGCACCAGTAGAGGTATGCTCCATGGAGAAGGGCTTGTGCACACATCTCTTGATGGGGATTGAAAGATAATGTTGTGTTTATACAGCTTTGGAATACAGCCTGCACTATTTGGAAAAAAAAAATTAAAAAAAATAAAAAAGGAAAGAAAAATACAAAAAGAAGGAAACCCAAAAGTGCTAAGGCAAACTGTCAAATGGCACATCATACCTACTTGTCATTCATTTAGATAACATCACAAAGGCAGACCAGAGGAGTTCTGTAAACATATACCATACAGTACATCAGCCACAGGAAAATAAAAAAAGAAAATAACCCTGTAATTCTTTTCTTTCTGTATTGATATTATTGTAATTGAAAGAGATTGCCTAGCCACTAATCATAATGCTGTGTTTTCTGATTTGTATTTTTCTGTTAAAAAAAAAAAAAGAAAAAAAAAAGTTAAATGCAGTGGTTTGCAAAAGAAACAGTCCCTAAATGTAAATGAGGGACAACATAGAAAGATGGAAAGTGGGTTCATAAAAACTTAGAAAATACAAAATATAAAAAAATTTCATAGGTTACTTTTTCCCAGTCTAGGAAAAGATACACTGAAAAGAGTTTTCTTGTTTTCTTACAAAAGTTAAGGCGAGCAGTTTGTTGTGGCAAAAATGTTATCACTGAACCAGTTTCTGACTCTACTTTTTTGTATCCCCTCATTCTGAAATTGAAAATATACATGTGATGACATAAGTTAAACAGACAGGGAGTTTTCTCAAAAAAAAAACAACCAAAAACCAAAAAACTCCCATAGTGATCCTTACAAAATCTCTCTCTGCTTGACTGTAGAGCAGACCTTTTCCTTTGTGTCTGATTGTGCATTTATTTCCACAGGCAGCTTCCTATCTGAGGGCAAAGGGAAAACTTACCCCTTCCAAAGCCCAGAGAAGCCCTGGAAAGCAGTTTACATTCATCAGCCTGTGCTAACACATTTTAATTCCTATGCAACTTGCTGCAGTCTAGTTAGTGGCTAATACAGACAAGCCAATGTCCAGGCAAGGCTGTTGCACTTGTGGAGGAGAATGATTGGAATAAGCATGTTTCAGGCAAAGTAGCTAAAGCCCTCTGAGTTCAGACTGATTAGCTTTTGTTTTGTGTTTTTCCTGACCTTAGACATGGAACTACCTTTGTACCTTTGACCAATAAAGACAAACCCTTTGCAGACACCTTTAGGGTTTTTTTGTTTTTTTTTTTAGTTATTTTTTGCCTTTTTTTTTTTTTTTTTTGGATCTATCAGGGCCTGTTAACCATGGAGTTCATATGAACACATAAAAAAACAATGGCCTTCCTAGGCACTCAATGTTAGCTACAAGTACTGAGCAGTAGGTATTTGGCAGGTTTAAGGTTTAAGGCTTGTGCTCTACTTCTAACCACTGAAGGGCCACTTCTGAACTCTTACATGCCACCGGCTCCCCACCACGTTGTGCCTCAAACGGTGCAGTGGTCTCAGACACACTCTGGCCCCAGTCTCAGCAAACATCTCCCAAAGCTGGCCACTAAGGGAGTCATCCCCAAAATGCTGAGCCTGTGGTAAGCCAGAAGATTATCTGACGGGAGAACGTTGGTGAAGAGACATATGGACAGACTGGATTAGGAGTAGTACCAGAGAATGTCCAGAGTCAAGATGACACTCCAAGTGTACCAAGCAGAGGGCTTTGGGAAACATGTCCGTAGGGCAAGGAGTGGTAGGGGAAAAATATTGGGCTATGAAGAGATGGGGAGGCCAGGGAAGCCATGAAGGCAGGATCACACACAGAGAAGGAAGGACTGGCCGGATCAGGAGAGGGGAAGCAGAAGATGTGTTTTTCAGGTGAGGTGAGGTGAGGAGGCCCCAGAGTGAGAGAACTATTGCAAAATATGCCTGTGGGCTGCCTGCTGGCTGCTGAGTGGGCAAAGCCCAGATACAGTGGCTTTCATGGTGCAGGAACAAGGTGGAAATGGTTTTACTGTCCCACCTGTTTGTGTCACAAAGTTCTTGCAGTGCTTTGGAGTCTTAAACATGCCCTGTCAAAGCCTCAGCTATCTCTCCATCACACAGCGTCTGGAGTGAATGAGACTATGGAGAGGTGACTACAGCTGTGTGGGTTAAGTGCTCCTCAGCTGAGTGGTGGTGGCATCGCCTAGCTTCTTGGAAATGCACAAAAAGCCCTGAAATGGTGTTGGTGATGGTGCCAGGGTCTGGGCTACCACAGCCAAGATAATGAGTGGTGATGTGATGAGCCAGGAGAGCTCAGACCCCAGGGGTCACCTCCCCACACCTTGGCATGCTGAGCATGAGGGCAACCTCATGAGGCCAAGCTGAGCACATCAGTGTTGAAAGCTCATGGCCTTGGTTTAAGAAATGTTGAGATTTGTAAATATTTAGCATTTCTGGAAAACAAAACGAACCAAAAAAACACTCACACCAAAAAAAATAACTGAAATAGAGGCTGCTCATTTCCAATATAGCTTCCAACAAACAGCCACCAGACATAACTGTGACAACATAGGACCTTGCAGCCATTCCCCTCTGTGATAAAACTGTTAACCACATAAGCCTGAGTCAAGTGATGATTTGCAGAGTTTATGTTGGTGAGTTTGGCCCTCCTGTCATCCAAAAGCCCCACTGGAGGCTGAGGGAACATGCAGAAGTCCATTATGCATGAAACCAGGCCACTGCAGCAGATACAGAAGCCAGCATAATTTCTGCAGGTGTCATATGGATGTGGCGGTCTTTCTCTAATTGCCAGTTCCTTTATTATTATTATTTTCTGTCACCTGAGCAGTGGTGTAAAGTTATGTCGACCAGCTCCATATTGACAGCAAAGTGATCTAACTCAGAACTACTTTTTGCATTTTTTTGTGTCTGTTTTTAGTGTGCCTCATATTACCACTTTCATGAGCAAGTGTCTTTTTTACTGGCACAGAAAGAAAAGAGTACAGAGCAAGAACTCTGTTTAATCAGATGCTCTGAACTAACAGTTAATGCAGTAAAAGCACCATCCAAGAAAGAACAGAAATATTGTGGAAACCACCTCAGAATGAAAAGAGGCTTTTTGTTGTTTTCTTTCTTTCTTTCTCTCTTTCTTTTTTTCTTTTTCTCTTTCTTTTTTTTTTTTTGTTTTTTTTTTTTTTTCTTATGCATTTTTTTTTTTCAGTTGCTGCTATTAATTTTTAAAGTCTGATAGTTTCAAATACACTTCAAAATAATCCTCAGTATTTTTAACACTACCAGAAAATACAAATCCTGATTTTTAATCTCACTTCTCTAGTTACAAATCCATACTAATTCCAGAGTGAGTGGAGATGCACTTAAGCAAAACCGACGTGAGACAAGAATCAGGCTCATAATATCTTGCCATGAAAAAGCTGTCTGCTTTTTCATTGTAGTTAGAAGAATCGAAGGACCAAGAAATAAAGAAATATCTACAGATTTTGGATGCCTTCGCCTTTTTACATTTTCACTTTGAGTTGTTTTTAAAAGGCCTGATTTTCAGAGGGCAGATGAAGGAAATTTTGCTGGAAATCAGGCCTGTCTGAGGTGTCCCACACTGGGAAACGAAGCATCCAAAACCACCAGCAGTTTGCATGTTAACCGTGAGGCTATAGGGTCTTCTCCTGGAACAGCTGCTTAAACAAAACTCCAGTGGGCGTCCATGGGAGTTTTGCCTGGGTAAGCACAGCAGGATCAGACCCATTACCTGTCAGTGCTTCAGTGCACTGGAGGTACACTCTCTGAGAAATAATATTTTCCTAAGAACTGCAAAAAAAAATCTGGCCCTGCCCCCATTTCCAGCACTGAGAATTTCATCACTGAATTCAGTGGGAACAAGGTCAGACTGCAAGAGAAGATCATTTTTATTCTACGGAAATAGTAAGCAATATCTCTCATCTACTGGAGTTCAGCAGGAAAACTTCATGTATAAACATTGGCAGAGTTACTGAAAGGCAAGTAATTAGATCAGTGACTCCATTTCTGTTGGTGTGACAGCTGCATCTTTTTCATGTCAAGTTAATTTCAACTGTAATTTAGGGAGATGAAGTACACATACAATACTGTAATCTGGAAGATTTATATAAGGCAAAATCATCATTCATACATTTTCTAGAAAGAATAATTAAAATCCACTTTTGGTATCACCAATAAGCAGAAATGGCTGATGGATTTTTTTGACACCGCAAACTAAACTAAAAAGTTGCTATAAAATGAAACTACGAAAACTTTTCAGGAAGGACTTATCTGAGTTTTAGCAAATTAAAACAGTAAAATGATCTAAGCCTTCCCCTGAGAAATAAAAAATAGGATCTATAAAATAATGTTTAAGTGTGAATTTTATCTTAAAAAAGAGAAACAATATTTTTTTTTAAGGCTCTCATATCGGGCTGCTGTGAAATTCAAACTCCCCAAAAATCCTAGGAGTCTGATTGAGCCTGCCAGATATCTAAAGAAAATGTAAAAATTGTTTTCATTATATATATATAATATATATATAAAAATCAAATAAATATGAAAACATTTTTTTCCGTTTCCCATTTATCTCTCACTCTGCAATATTAAGGAAAAAATAAAATAAAATATAATCCCCAACCTCTCCCCAAACCCGAAAGAGTACGTCTGATGGGAAAATAACCATGTGTTCCTCTTCCTGAAGAACTAGAAATCAAAGCAACCCAACTGCAAGGCAATGGAGGCATTCACTTCCAGTTCACAGTATTGCAGCTAGAAGTACATTGAGGTCTAGGTAAGTGACGGAGCAGGAGCTGCCTGGAGCAGGGAAGGAGGAGGTGTTCACATGACAATACAGCATTGACAGCGCTTTTTCTTTTGTGTACCTGGGGCAGCTTCCAAGGGCAGGCTCTCTTCCTTCCCCTCGGGAGAGGAGGGCTCTGTCGTGTCTGACAGGGGCCTGCCAGAGACCAGCTCAGCAGCATTTCCATCCATGGTGGAGACGTCCGTCACCGTCTTCTCACGCAATGACTTCTCGTCGTCTTCGTCAATCAGGACTAGCTCTGCTTTGATGGTTTCATCATAGCCCAGCACTTTCTTCGTTTCCTCTTCGTCGTCGATGTTCTGGTAGCCCATAAATATCATTGTCACTGGCTGATCCGCGCTGGCCTCTGGAATGTCGCCACCACAGGGTTTGTCTTGGGGCTGAGGGTTCACAGCATGCCCTTTGCTGGGTTTGTGTACCATTTCCAGCTTTGCCTCCTTGAAGAGCATTTGCTCCTTCATTTGGCTAAGGTTTCCATCGGCTACTGCATTTCTGTCTGACACAGTCATTGTTTCAAACCCTCCTTTTACACTTGATTGTCCAGCTTTTTGCATAAGTTCATCTACGTCCTTTGAGCTTAATTTATGTACTCCATTTTCTACCACTGTGCCACCAGAGTGAACCTCATAGACTACCTTGGTACCATCATCATAGACTTTGAATCCTCTTTGATGGGCCTCATCTGGGCCAATAGGTGAAGCAGAGACAATCTTGGTCTCTCCTGTCTGTTTGTCTTTCTCCACATTAATTTCCATGGTGCACAAAGCTTGAATGAAAACAAGAGAGGAAGTGCATGTTACAACAAAAAAAGCCAGTGAATGGTTAATTGCCAAACAGACAAAGAAAACTATGGTGCCCCTTTTCCTACCACCTGCATCTAAAAGGTCAAGTGTGCTACGTTAGAAGTGGGATGCAACACTGTGGACAGAGGTCGTTATTATTTTACAGCTCCTTATGCAGCTGGAGGCTAGGCATACCTGTGACAAATGGGAGATAGTCTTCCAGCTCACGCTACGTGGAACTGTCTCTGATCAATTAGGAGCACCAAGAGCACATGGGTTAGGTGTATTTTAGGCAAAGGGAGGTGACAGCATGCAGGTTGCCCTCAGTCTTTCCATTCTGATCTTGACTCAAAATTCAAAGAGAAACTCTTCTACAGCAACCTCTCTACTCTCATCCTTTCCTATCATCAAACCACCAGTTAGCTGGAAACAACTTTTATTTGGTGCAAGTAACACCCAGACTGGTTTATTATCAATGCTTGATCTTGTTTAACTCTTCCATCCGTAGCATTCAAAACATATTAGAGAGGTGGAGAAGCATTGTTTACCCCTGTTCTACAGTTGGGAAAACAAAATCACACAGGCATGGGATTATTTTTCCCGTAGATTCGTGGCAGGGCAGGTCTCAGTTTCCACACCAAGGCATCGGCAGTGACCTCTGCTTGCAGGTTAAAAGAATGTATAAAATGACCATGAAGTGCTCCCTCCCTTTTTTGAATGAGACCCTATGCATCATTTCCAAAGGGGTAAGTTGAAGAAATTAACCAACTTTCAAAGCATTGTAAAACAATGAGTAAAAACACACATGTGAGGGATGCTGTTGAAGAATAGCAAAGAAACTTTTCTAGCAGTTAAGAAGGACGCAGCAACAAGACAAAAATAGTTGAGACCACACAGTAGGAGTAATCTTCATTGTCCTAGCCCCTATTTCAAGATATAATGGTATCTCACTGGACAGCTTTTCAAATAAAATTGTACAAAGGTCTCACAGATTTTCCAGAAGGGTTGACCTGTTTAAACATTCCTGGAATACAGATGAAGACATTTTGGTTTTTGGACAGACATCCACAGACACTTAATTACAAACTACCACAAGCAATGACACATGTTTGTGAAACTTTCGGTGACCATTTCCACCAATGAACCTCAATAGTATAACTGATTTGTCTTACCTGGGGACACCAGAAACTGATGTCTTGGCTTTTATTTACTTTTTTATTTATTTATTTTTCCCCAAGTGAGTACAGAATATCACTGCTCCAAGAGTCCATGTAGCTTGGTATGTTTGTACTTAAACAGAATTAATTAAAGAAAAATAAATTACTTTTATAATATATTCCTTCAGTCTTATTATTCACACACAGTAGATTTTTTTTTTTTTTTTTGTATTCTGAAAATATGAAGTCTTTCATCAGTGTTAGGCAGTTAATCATGTGGTACAACATGAATGCCATCATAAGTCTAGACAGAAAACTCAGGTATTGCTGAGTGGGTGTACACTGGCTCCTATGCAATGGTCTCCTGTGTGCCACAGGAGTGCAGTCTGGTAGGCAGCCAGGACAAGAAGGGGTCTTGTTGTGTATATGCTGTGTGTTTGTGCTTAGACCTTGGTGTCCATGCAGAGCTGGTTAGATAAGTGCAGCAACACACAAATATCTACAAGGGGTCAGAGGATGGAGGTGCTGGTGGGTGAATGAGCATTGCTACTGCCGAGAGAGAGGCACTGCTGAGGTCTGGAGTAGGCTGCAGGAGCAGGGATCTTGCCTTGTTCATTGCAAGTTAAGGGAATGTCCTTAAGGACTGTGATTACTACTAGTTTGGGAGACTTACAGACTAGTATGTCCTTAGCTGCCATGTCCTTGAGTATAGACACCCATTTTCGCAACCAATTAGGGATACCAAATTTCTTATCTCTCTGTCTGTGCTGGCATTATCATGCCTGGGCACCCCACAGAAATCCCAATGACAAGGAGAAGGCTGAAAGGGTGCTGGGCTGAACTGCATGGAGCTGGATGCTGACCTCCTGGGTGTCTGCCCCATGATGTGATGCTCTGACTCTTCTTCCTCTCACAGGACTTATTGCAGAGCTTTAAGATGTGGTCACTATCCCAACAGTGCCAGCTGCTGAGTTGGGATAGTCTAGCTGCTCGCTTTAGCCCAGAAGACATGGTCTCCCTAATTCTGGGTTACTGAATATGAATCCAAGGCAGCGTTGCATTCATAGCAGGACCACACCATGAAGCAGCTCACAGAGCATTGTGTCAGTTCCTCGGGACTGTCCCTACCCAAGATCTGGTGGACAAGTATCCCTCAAGTCTCATGCAAATAACTCTGCCATGAAACCTTCAATCCAGCTTAAAGTGGGAATGAAATAAAAAAGACACAGGTACTACCCCTAGCAATGTTGAATTATATTAACTTGGACATCAGAGTTCATTACTGGAACTCTTCCTAGGGTGAGTGATCTCTGAATATCACTTGGCCTTGCCAGGGCTTCTCAGTCACATATTGTACAAGGACTTTGGACACCAAGGACATAAAAAAAGTGGTGGCTAGCCTGTGGTGTAGATGTTAAAACTGGCACACAGGCAGGTTTTTTGAGAGGCAACCAGCCAAACTGAAGCAAAGCAGAGCTGGGAGGAAACACCAGCCTGTTCAGGAAATCACCTGTAATAAGCAGAAGTTCCTGACTTGTTCTGAGCAGCAGAGCCCCACAGAGATGGCACTGCCAGCCCTCCAGCTGGTAACATCCTATCTCCTTGGAGAAAAGCAGCATCCTCAGCTCCTCTGGAGTTCCTGTGCTTCCCCTCCTCATTGGAAAACAAAAATACTATTTGGGCCATGATTTTGAAAGACTCCTAGACTCTTCAGGTAAAGGCTGCTGATTTTCCTGTGAGATATTGTTGAATGCCACATTTTTGCACATATTTTCAGTGCAGATCCTCCCTATTTTGAAGAACTAATTTTATTCAGCAGTGTGTAGCATAAAATGCACTTATGGGCCAGAATTCAGAAGCAGACAGGGGAAATTTGATTTTTAAGTCACATGGATTTGGCCATATTTAGGAAAAGTTGCAAGATACATATTTTTATATGTAAAAAACTGCACCCAACCTATTAGGAAGACTTTGATCAACAAGTTCCATCACTGCTTGGAAGACTCTCTGCTAATGACTAATCTGATTTAGAAAGTTAACAAGTATGAAAGTTATATCCTTTTGTATTTGCTGTTTGCCTAATTTGCTTAAGAATTTGTCACTGACAACATTTTCTTTTCTTCTGTCATGATTTTGCAACAATGTTTTTGGATATTGACATAACATGTACTTTATGACCTGCCCCAGGGATCACATTCAAACTCCTTGTGCTAATAAATGCATAAATATATCTGAGTATCTTAGAAAGCTGTTCACTAATGAAACACATTGCCATGGGAAAAATGAATAACAGAACCTTGCTTATCTGCTGGCATGCATAATGTTTGTTCTCTGCAGGAAAACCTAGCTGCTTGGCTTGTCCAAGTAGCTGAAAATTAAACTAATGTTGATTTTTAAAATGTCTTTATTTAAGCAGAGCTTATTTACTACAAAATAGGCTCTATTAATACAGTGCAAAACTATATGACAATAGGGTTGAAACTGAAAGCAGTAGTTGAAGATGACAGCCTGTATTCATGGGTACAAGTCCTCTATACAAGCTTTAATTACAGTGTAACATGATGCAGTGCTTCATGACAACAAGATCCCAATATGCATTGGAAAGAATCTGGCTTCTGCTTGTTATGTGCTGTAAATACTGAGATTCAGAGGCTTCTTTTTTCTTTTTTTTTTTTTTTTTTTTTTTTTTTTTTTTTTTAGTTTAATCTCAATAGTCTTTAAATTTGTATTAAGATGGATGCTTGTAGTCTTCCCTTGAGTACATGTGCTAGTGCCTTCTCATTAAGCTATTGATCACACAAGACACTCTAATTGAGGCATACACGAACAAGGCTTGTGGGTCATCCAGGAATGAAAGAAATGATTGTTCTTTGGGTGTTGACAAAATGGCATAAAACACACAGTGAAGAACTTGCTTTGTAGACAAATCAGGGCAAGCACTGGTGGAAGGAAAGCTTTTGGAATGGTTTGCAACAGGTCCTCTAAACAAAATTACACATCCTGTAGTGCTATATACTGTCTTAGCTGCAGAAACTGCTTTGCTGTGCTTATTAACCCATTCTTCAAGACAGTCACCTTTCATTCTCAGTCCCTGGCACATCTTAAGTAGCCACCAGCAAGTTGATGTTGATAGGGAATAGATCGTTTAGAAAAGAAGGATCTTGAAAATAAGAAACACATTCAGCTTTTAACAATCAGATTGTCACATTTGGGACACATATGCAATGTGGAAAATAGGTGTTAAAAAAGTCTCTCTATGGCTCCAAGCACAAAATCGGTCATCATAATTCTCCTTAGTCTTTTCCCCGAGAAGAAAGAATGGCATACAAAGCCTTATCAAATGACTTAAAGGTTTGAAGCATGAATGGGGACTTGTGATTACCTGTATGTCTTGATGGGAATTACTTGGGTACAATGGGGGAGGTAAAACCTTAGCTGAGATACCATGTATTTGTACCAGCAGAGCTAGAAGGAACTGAATGTTTCCATGAAAAAAAAAAGACACCTTTCCTATGCTACTTGTATGTATCTCAAATATATTGTTTTGCTAGTACTCATTGGTGCTCAGAAAACCTTGACTTATTTACAACATACAAATCAAATGGCATTTCCTAGCATTTAAATGATATCTTGACTCCAGACCAATTAAGGCAATATAACAAAAAAGAGTTCATGGCTACTGGATTGGTATTATAATACTTTGCTCCTTGAGACTTACCAGCTACTCTGCTTGCTCCGTCCCGCCCAGGAACTGGCTCTGCTGTTCGTGAATAGAGGGTTGGGAGTTCAGGGATCTGGGAGTAAATGTAATTTACTGCATCTGGTGTCAGAGAACAGGAAACAGTTAGATTTGTGCTACGAGCCCCAGTGGCTTCATTGCTTAGACAGCAGAGTGTTGTCAGCCCTGACAATAGTTGCTGGAGCTTTGTACTAGATAATTGGATCAAAGCAAACAAAGTGCAAAGTCACTGTCGTGTGATTGGTGTTCAATAGACTAGCTGAGGTAGGAGGGAATGGGTCCAGATGACTCAAACCTTGTGTCAGTTGAACACATAAAATTATTTGTCAGGAGGTTCTGGATTTATCAAGTCTGTGACCTTTAAATGTGGGAAATGTTGTGGGATAGAGGGAGAAGACAAGGAATAAACCTAGTGTGATACGTAGAATAAATGACATTTCAAATAGACATATAAAAGCCTAAAAATGCTAGCTTTGGCTGAAAGTGATGACAGGACAGCTCTGTTTGTTTCCCATATTATGGAACTGACATTTGGCTTCTTTGTTGTTAAAGCTAAAATACAGGTAATAATGAAGTCAAATATAGATACTGCCTATAGCACAGGGTGCCTGTTGTGAACTTGAGTAGTTATTCAGTTCCTGACAGTTCTTCAATGCAGCTGTTCATTAATGGAGCTCAGACTAGTACAGAATTAGCTTAAACGTCTGACTTACCTATGGTTGTTTAGCACAAACTAAATATGTTCTTTAGGAAAGCCATTGAAGAAATTTTATAAATATTTACTTGCAGATGTTTTATGGATGGGTAAATATAACTTGATAGCACCTATCATTCCATTAAGACTCAGTGGCTACATTAAAAGAGGAGCTCAGAGGAGAGATGTGCAAGTAACTGACCAAGAAACAGAGACAAAAGAAAAAAAATCACATTGTTTTCTATCAACAAGAAATCTTTTCAGTTTTGTATGGAAAAGGTGAAATTTCTGTTCAAACATAAAGTCCTATCTTGTCTAAAAGAGAATATTTGTTTTCCTCCAAGGCTACTTTGCAGATACGTTTTATAATTAAGCTGTCAAACCTTTGATATGACCTGGTCCATGTGGAAGGGTAGAGGCAGAATCTGCCCTCCTCAGTGTCCTGTGTTGCTCTAAGCAGGTGAGATATGGAGATCAGTGCAGACTGAGAGAGTGAAATGGTGAAGGAGATTGAAAACTAAATGACATGTTGGTCGCTGCTTTACTGCGTCTGGTAAAGGGAGACGCTCTTGTGATGTTCCCAGTGGGCTAATATTCATCCCAGAAAACAAACACACAAAACACAAAACCAAAAACAAACACTGCACCTGGATATACCCTTAGCAAAGGCAGGATGTCACCTCTAATCCCCAAACCTGCTCTTTTGACAGGAAAATTATGCTTGCTACAAGAAAAATGCTTTTACTGCCCTAACAGCCTGCAGTGGCCGTAGATGTGCCATGGTGTGGTAGGCTGGCAATCACAGTCCTGCAGAAGACACTCCACATCTGGAGCTGGAGTTCATGTACATGACTTGGTGAAGAAAACCCCTCATAGGAAGCCTTCTCTCCCTCCCTCTGTGTACTTCCTGTGTCAGAGGAGAATGACAGAGAGGCGCAGTACAAATGCATTCAGGAAAGCTAGGAAGTTGTTGCAAAAGTTCAGCTTCTAACAGATGAATTTCAAAAACCTCAGCCGGGGAAATATTGTTTTATTTCGTACTTCACTGGGCAAATGGCAGTCCTGGAAAATGAGCTTTTATATTTTCAGTGCATAGTGTTTCCTCAAAGTTTTTTATTTTTAGCATTAGAGCCTGGGGGAAATAATTGTTTAGGACACAGCTGACTGAGCAGTGGCCAGTAACAGCTGCTTTCTTTTGCAGGGTTTCTTGCCTCTGATGAGAAATTGGTACAATGCTTGTTGTTGTTATTCTGGGAAATATCACCAGCAAATGAGCAGGCCATTATTGAAAACTGAAGTAATTTCTCAGAAGTAAGAAGTGGGAACTGTTTCTGGGCCAGAATAAGAAGGCACTTTGTATTCTGGAAATGGCAGAAATTTAGAAATTATTCACCCAGTTGAGTGTGCTGCTGGAACGGTACTTTCAGCATACAGTCATCCAGTGACTTGAGAGACAGAGGTGTCTGTCCACACTTGGGTGTAATCAATACAGACATGTGTTGCTTCACTAATCAGCCTGACTGCTTTTGTTATCCGTGGGCATATGCAGGCACAGCCAGAATGCTGTTCTCATCCCAGAGCAATGCAACAGGCAAAATTCATTGCAAGTGTATGTTCCTCTGCAGTGCCTGTGCAAGGAACTGAACTGACCACCTTGTCATTAGCATTGCCAAAGCCCATCGGTAAGCCAGGTCAGTTTTGCAGCTTGGTGACGAGACTCTTACTCTGACGCTCTTCATGTCTGTGGATCTTAGTATGGGTTTTGTTTTGATTTGTTTTGTTTTGCCTCCTGTGTCAGGAAACAATGCCCATGTTAGTGTCAGCTGCCACCAATGTTGACTCAGTTTAGAAACTTTTCTGGATGTTACTAAGAAAAAAAAAAAGTTGCTTGAGGGATCCTGAAAATCTCTAATTACTGGGCTGAGTGGGGATGCTGTGGTGGGGGTGAGGGTAGTGGGATTCTCACATACTTTCTTCTGAAGCACATGATGGTGCCACACGTCAAAGATGGGATGTTTGACTAGGAGTTGGGGCTTGATTCATTCTGTCAGTTCCTATTTCCCCCTCACCCCATCACCCCAGATAAAAAGAACATGCTCATTTTCCTTTTTCTCACTGGCAACAAGGTCTGTTTCATTTAGCACCTCTAAAAGCAATAATAAGAGAGCAATTTTACAAGGAGTGACTGAGACACAATTAGCATTTTGTTCGCATGGGGAGTAAGACAGAACATAAATCAAAGCATTTGAACTGACTCCATTCAATACCTTCGTTTCAACCTTTGATGAGTTATTAATATATAAGAATGCCATAAAACATATCCTGTGGCTTTTTGTACTGCTTAAAATAAACTGCGTTTTAGGATTATGGCACTTCTCCATATGATCAGACAAACAAAGTGCTTGGGAACACTTACGGGACCCAATAATCCTTCAAGGGTGCTTACACAAAACCAAAGCTTCAGAACTGCTCAGAACAGCTCCCACACAGAGGCTCATGACCAGATGCCAGATGAGCCCATTTTCCAAAGACTGGATTATCTTTAAAATGTCTGACTACCACTAAAACAAGTGCCTAAGGCCTTCTGTACATATCAGCCCCCAGGGCAGGGCTGCTCCCCCTGTGAAGCCATCTGGGGCTGCTGAGGGTTTGGTCAGAGGGAACAGAGACTGTGACATCCCCACCACATTTGTAAGACCAGTAGCACAAGGCTAAGCAGGCAGTTTTGCTAAGAGCTGTGTGGCCTGGCTCTGAATGTAGCTGGGTGGCTGGTGCTGCCGTAGCTGTGGCAGCCATGCATTCTAACAGATGCAGGTCCGATTAAAAAGTTGCTTATCTTTTGGGTTTTAGACTCAGAAGCATGGAATTGTGGAATATCCTGAATTGGAAAGGGCCCGTAGTTATCACCTAGTCCAAATCCTGATCAAAATCGTACTACTGAAAAACAGTCATTGAACAGGTTCTGTAAGACACGTGGAAAGCACCCTACGAAAATCTGCTTTCTGCTCCTCTGAGGACGTGCTCCTCTGCTTTGCTGTTGGGCAGCAGTGCTGATCCAGATTCGAGCAGAGGAAACCAGACGAGCCTCTAGGCAAGGCGCTGTGAAATACACCATCCAGGTCAGGTTTCCAGAGCCACATATTTGCCAAATATATGCTAACACACGCTGGATGCAAACCGAGGTTTGTGTAGTCTGTACTTACTGCAGTTGTGGCTTCTGTGTGTTGGCTGAAGTGTCAGTGTGCAGTTTGCATACAGACAGCTGAAAGTTGCAGGGGATGAACTCACCCAACGGCAAGTACAGCAGCCAAGGGAGCCACATCAGATCTTAATGGGGCTTTGATTTTATATGCACATTGAGCCAATGCACATTGAGCCACAAACACACACAGAGCTGCTTTATTTCACATGGTTATCTGTGAAGGCAAAATGAGTTCATTCCCTGGAAAATGTGGGATTTGTTTAGTGTGCCTGGGTGATCTCAAGCTCAGAAATGCTCTTTGCCTAATACAGCCATTTCCTGGGAAGGGTGGGAAGGACACTGAGAGCCACTTGGCTGCTCACTGTTGCTCATCACAACTTCTCCCCTTTCCTCATAGCCTTCACCTGGACCCTCTGGACTCTGAGCTCTCTGTAGCTGAAACACCATCACCACCTTATATATAGCACAAAAGCATGCACAGGGATGCAGTGGTGAGGTAAACCACTTTCTGCACCATCATCATGTATAGACTAGAGGGATAGATGGACCACAGCAAACTAGTGTGAGATTTATGGACTCAAAGTCTTTTAGAATATGGCAGTAATTCATGTATGTGTAGGTTTGTGTATGTATTTTACTCAGCTTTCCTGTACTATGAAATGACTCCCATTTTCCCCTGCAGCATGTGTTATACAGATGGTTAACAGACAGATGACAGGTCTGCTACAACAAAGCAAGCCTTACATATTTTTGAAAGGAAGAAAACTATGTTATCAAACTGCTCACAGCTAGAAATGTATGTGTCCACTTCTTACTGTGATCAGCTACCCCCACAGACTGTTGTTGGACAGAAGTAAACAGAGGACCAGCTCTGTTTTTTCCACATGGAGATGCATGGCCACGCCATGTCTACAGTGGGAGGCAGGCCTGGGTCAACAGGATGGCCTGCAGCCTCGATCTTCTTTAGAGCATCAGAGTACAGTCTGCTTTTTCATAAAACTGTCTAGAGGATGACCCAGGCCCACCTCAGCCCAGCAGGACTGATTGTCAAGAAGAAGGGATAAGACATGTAAACAGAGGGGCTGGAAGAGAAGAGGTACTGGTTTAACTTATCTCTATCCCCTGCTCCCTCTGCTTATACATTGATGTTGTCAGCAGTCTGTTGCCTTTGACATTATTTTGCAGTTTTCTGTTAGTCCTGCAGAAATCAAAAACTGTCCTTCTGGCTCAGTCCGTGAGGGTGAGATCTGCTGAAATCAGGCAAAATCTGGAGTGTAGTGAGGTTCCTCTTGAGCCCAATGAAGTCCTACAAGTAGGTATGCCATGGGAAGAGTCCCTACGGGAAACTACAGCTTCACATGTGCTAACTGGGATTTTCTTTGGTTCCTGTTTAATCATAACACCCAAAAAGAGGCAGTCTATGTCTTGCAGGAGTCACAAAAGTTCCTGTCAACTTTGGGTGCTAATTCCTGTAGGCACTGATTCCTGTTTTGGAAACTTACCAGTGACAATGAAACTCTGCACAGGCACAAGATATTTGCCATTCTGGAACTTTATTTGCTTTTTGATAGCCAACTTCAAATGCTTCGTGAACGCGGAAACATAAATTCTTACAAAGGAGTATCCTACCTGGGACTTCTGTGTTTTTTGGCAACTGGAATTAGCCTAAACCATGAATTATGCTGTTAATAGGAGTGAAAATCTCTGAACTGGATCTTTGAGCTAAAAAGAAAACCTACTTACTAGATAATATTAATACCCCCCAAAAGAAACTCCTCTAAACAGATCTGAATGATCTCATACACTGTATGTTAACCTTCAGCTGTGTCCTATATGGTAGGATCATCCTACATATTCCCTGTTTATGCTTAAAGAACAGATGGACATGGCTTTGTCAGTAGCTGGAGGACCTAGTTGTGGCCTCAGCATTTCACATCTTGTCAGTTCAAAGATAGGTCCCGAAAATAAGTGTCTAGAGTACTGATTTATCTGCAGGTACAGCAGCATGCTGTCCTTCCTGGGTCCTAAGAGTCCTGGAGATGCACTGCAAGGGTTTATCTAGCTCTTGGGCAACAAGTCACGTTTATGCTCTCCCAGACACATACATTTATTTCTCAGTATTTAGACTGATCACACATAGTGTCACACTGAGTTCATAAACCAGGAGTTACTACATCCTCATCCACCTAAGCAAGGATTTCCTTCTGTGACATCATCACACAGAAAATATCATTCATTAGTGAAATAATCTAATTTTAATCAAAAGCAAGTTGTTCTTGCAAATGAGGAATATTACACAATGTATTTAACAGTTTATGAATAGTATGAACACATGCAGGGGAGAGGATTTATCATGAGTAGGTGAAAAGGGAAGTTTTATGATGTCTATTTCAAGTCATACATGACTTTCTTTTCCCTTGAATGCACATAAAAATAGCTGGAGCTCTACCAAAGGAATACTGCCCCATAGGAACAGTGACATTTGTACTTGTACTATAGCAACACCACAGGACAAGGTAATGTCTCTAGCAATAAATCAGAAGCATGCAATTAACAGAGGAATCCCCTTTCTGTAAACTTTCGCAACAAAGCTATGTAACAACTCTTGCTAACCTCAAAACAAGGCAGGAGTAAAAAGGCACTTACCACCATCCTGGTGTGCAAAAGTCTGTGAAGAGAGAAGGAAAAAAAAAAAGGAAGATTGGTTAAAACAATCATATTTTGGGTAAAATTTGCATGAAGTCTTGATTTTTTCTGCGATGACTGCTCATAAGGCTCTTTGTCATTATTAAATGGGAACCTAGGGCTGTGGCTCCTCAGGTTTGGGTGCAATTAAGGGCCAAGGGAGAGGGACATGATGTAACTGAAAGGAGAACATTCACAATTTTTTGTAGGCAATACCATTCAGAAGTGGTATCTGTGGCACTTTGAGATGACTTCCAGGCATCCTGATTATCTTTCAGTGGTGCCGAAAGCTCACATGGTTTCCCTGCAGATAAGCTGTGGAGAAACGCCTTTTCAAAAAGGTTGGAATGGGAAGGGGAAATGCAAATAATGCACCCAAAGTAGACCTGACACTTCTATATCTCTTCTGCTCATGTTCATCCTGGTTTGAGCTGAATGCTCTGTAACTGGCCACAACCTTCCTGTAAATGCTAAATTATAACTGCTGGTTTGAATCACTTCTAACAGTCTACCTTGATTTCAATCTATGCCCCAAGTGTCTTTTTTTTTTTTGTAAATACCTTTTGCAAGTTGTCAAAGGATTTCTCAGTCTCCTTTAGCTTCTCCAAAATGATTTGTTCTTTGGCAGATATTTGGGATTCCTCACTTTCTAATTTCTGTATTTCTTGTTCCAGCCTGTGGAAGACATACAAACATGCACATACACACAAAAGCAAAACATGTAAAAACTATTTTGATGAGCTGTAGTTGCCTAGGTATCAATTAGCATTTCAAATGTTATCAGGAACACCTTTCATACTTGTTATTCACAACTGACTTCCAAGAACAAGAAGGTCATGTAAATTGTTTGTAAAATAGATCTATTCAAGAAAAAAACAATACATCTCTTATTATGCATTTCTGCAAAAATATGTGCAGATTAACTAAAAATATACCTCACTTTTCCTTCACCCTGATTTCTGTAACATCTCTTAGATGTACACTTTCATTTTAGAAGCTTCAGTACTGGATATAAGCATAAAAATTCAGTAATGATTACAGGAACGGGTATTTTTTACTATCACTATACTACAGACAATGGAACTGGAAACAACTGTTGGAAGCTGGCAGTCAACCAGTTGTATTGGTAGTTATTCTAGAACCTGCACTTTGTCCACTTTCCAAAGCAAAACCCGTGGGTTGGTACTTTCTTCTAGGACAGCCAAAAGCCTTGGATATCTATCCATGCCTCATGCTGTTACTAGATGGTACTGAGGACCCTAGGGGCTTCACATAATAAAATGCACAGGGTGTACAGAAAGCAAGCATTAAGCACTCGTGTTGATCTTGTCGCTATCTAACAGCACTCACTTCTTAAGATGTGATTTGGCATGTACTTTAACCAGAAACATGCGGGGTTAGATTCTCCATTACTTTAACTCAAACCTCCTTTTATTGCCATGATTTATATCAGTAATATCATGCAATATTGTCTTTTTTTTTTCCCCTTCTATTTCTTATGCATACCACTATCTCTATTTTCTTACTTTTTTTTTTTTTTTTTTTTTTTTTTTTTTTTTTTTTGCCAAAAATGAAAAGGAAAAAAAGAAAGGATCTGTAAAATTTGAGCTCAGAGGAATACTTTCAGTTACCTGAGACTTCAAACAGTTACCTTCAAAATGAGCTATAGCTGCTCACAGCTTGTTGGACCATACTTCTGTGAAACATTGTCCAGTATTTGCACAAAGACAGGTAGCCCTTCCTTATCCACAGCTCCTTGCTCCTGCCTTTCTGCCACCATTTCCCATGTGAATGATCAGGGCACTGATCCAGGCTAAAGTGACATATTTTTGCTCTTCCTCAACTCTGCTTGGTGCAGGGCTTCATTAATGCTTGTTCAATCAGAAGGCAGAGGGCAAGGAGAAAGCAACCATGCACAAACAGACAGGAAAGGATTGCTCTTCTCAGGGTCTTGACAGCTTGGGTTGCTTGTGAAATTAATATGTCTAAATATAGATTCAGGGGTCTAACTCTCAAGCACCCACCTGGGAAATTTTTCCCTACTTTCTGGTAGTGCAAGGACAAAAGATTCATGGCACTTGCTGAGAATGCTTTAGATTAGAGGGAAGTCAAAGAGTTGCAGCCTCAAGTTGTTGTGGACTGAAAAAGGGCAGATTTTGCTCTCTTGGAGTATGCCAATAATGAACAACCTCAAATTCCTCATAGTCTGTCAAACTGCCTAGTTTCTTTCTCAAAGGAAACCCCTTAATGTCCAAATAGAAATGACCTAACTTTAGTGATTTTAAGAAGCACTGCCGGGAACTGGAGTTCCAATCCACTTCACGTTTTCTCCAAATTAATATAAAAATCTTAAGAATACAAAATATTTTGTTCTGCTGCAATGGAACAATTTGATATGGGATGAATTTTTCAGAGAGAGATCTTTCAAAAATACCATTTAATCTCAAGTTTTCTTCCCAGGATTTTTATTTTTAATAGCTGTTGAAGTGAAAACATCATTTGTCACTGAGGTCAGCCAAAGCCACACTCATGCTTAATGAATTTAGAAATCAACAGAAAGGTGTCTTCTTTTCCTTCCCCGTTCCTGCGACTGATTAGTACACCCATGTATGTTTATACCTCACTAATAAAGACACTTGAATTATTCTGTTCTGATTAAATTACATTGTTAAGCTGGGTGAGTGGGGGTTTATTGGTATGTTTCTTTCTTCCTATGTGAATTGCTCAGCAGCATTTCCAGAGTACCTATTGTATAGCCTGGTGCATTTTGCTAGTCATATGATGGAGGAGGAGACTGGAAAATGGGAGCGTATAGAAGTCACCACCACCAAAATACATGGGAAGAAAGAGGTTTTATTTCTTTCAAATGAGCTGGACAGTAGTTAAACATTTACGACAATGAAAACACTAAGTATATGTGGAGTAAGGCAACTCATTTGATGTGGATAAGACTGTAAACGCATGTAGACTACTTACAACTTGAGGTGATTGTAAACATATTTGTTTTTATTTTTATTATTTCTTTTTTGTGCACTGGCTCAAAACTGTGGAAATTTTGTCATGAATTGTTTGTACTTCCAAGAAAAGTTTGCTTTCAGACATGCACATGCACATATGCTCATGCACTTGCATATGCACACTCAGCATTTGCTTACATTTAATATTTCTTACTTTCTAGCTATCTGCTTTTTGTTGTTGTTTTTACTTGTTTCTGTCCCTTTTAGCCTTCCCTTCTGGTTTATTTCTTCAAATTCTGCTGCATTCATGTCAGACTACTGTTGTCATTAAAAAAAGTTATGCAAATGAAACATTAGATTATCCTATTCTGATGATATATTTTTTTTTCCCCTGACTTTTCTTCCATTCCTTCTAAAAGCAGTAATAACAGCAATTTGCTAAAGAGAGAAGGAATTGAGACCTAGCTGCCAACATTTAGAGACTTGGGTAGAGCTGATAGAGACACAGATCTCCTATGTGGCACTGAGTAAGAATGCATAAAAACACAAACCTTAAGTGTAAATTGCCCTTCTTCCACTGAAATCTGTGCACGCAGGCTGAGAGTCTCCTAGGCCCTGTGTAAAAGCCCTGTCTAGTACCGGAAAAATTGATACAACCAGCTAAAATACTGAATTCCTATTTGTGGCAGGAAAACTATGGATCATTCAGCAGTGTTCAGCAAGAAAGTACCATGTTACACAGCACCGGGACATTTACCTGACATTAATATCCACAGGAGGTTGTTTTATTCCTTTCACTCATTTTTACACCACTTTCAGCTATAATCTTTAGGTTTAAAGGCTGAGGTAACGTTGCTAGGGTACCAGAGGTAACAGAAATACCCAGGAGCACAGTTTCCATGTTGTATATATTCATTAGTAAACTACCTAGTCATCATAGACCTCACTGGAAAATATTTATTTAGTAGGCAGCTAGAGTCTTCACTATCTCCTTTAGGCTGCCTATTTGCACAAGAGCCAGCAATGCAAAAATTAAAATCATAATACAAACTGAAAGTTGGCTTGCACCCCTTATTTTTTTTTTTTAGTTAAATACCATACCACCAAAATTGCCAAGGGACAATGAGAAACGCCTGCTATTTTAGTAACAAGATACAACAGACACATGCAAATTTGGCATGAGAAACAAAAGCACTAATATCACATCAGTTTTGGGCAGCATGCCATATAATGTTCTAAACAGCAATAAATCCATCAGAGTACACATTTGCACGCACATACATATACAAAGTCCTTACATTCTTCCTGTGTAAGCCTGCTAAATATTCAATAATGCCCCTTTCTTCTAGCCCAGTTTAAAAAGGATGTGTTTTAATTGTCATTTGACACCTGGTAAGGAAACCCTGTAATTCCCTTCTTCCTGGCTTCTTAGCAGATTTCAGGCTATAGTTTGAAGGACAGCCACAACAATTAAGCCACAAAATAAACAACTACAACATCAGGAGTGCTGTAGAGAATAAATATGAAAGAAAATGGAGTTCAAGACAGAATAGAGGTGGTGTAAAATGAGCCATTAGTATTGCTGTTTCTTGGATCAAGTAGTTTTCTGATGACCTGGATCTGCTAAAACATTGCCAAACTGAGAAAAAATGGTTGTGTAGCTGGGAGTTGGTTTGTCATGGGTAGTTCTTCACAGTGGACGTACACAGAGCCCTGTTTCCCCAGGTACCACAGGAAGCAAAAGGGGAGATTCTGTCACTCAGAAACCTAAATGTACCTGGCCTCTGGGCTGTCTGGGTTATGAAAACCATGTAGTGTCCCATGTGTTGCTTGGATTCCACACCAAGAATAATGGTCATTAAAACTAGTAGATCCACCTAGCCTTGTTCATGGTGACGTCCCACTATGAAACGGAAGAAATTCTGAGCAGAATCATTCGATACTGCAGGGGAGGAGGGTGCACACCTACAAAAGAAGTCTGGTCTGTGCCTGGTGGGATTTCAGCTGGTGTCAGTAGGGTGCGCAGTCACATTTCTGAGAGAATAGGGGAAAGATGCGAGTGAAGTTTCCTTCAGAGACACTGTGATCAGGGACCAAACTTGCTCTTGGTGAGCATGGAAAACAGTTTAATTCAGTTGGCAAATGTGGGCATTGAGCAGGGAGAGCTAAGTGGTAAAGAGGGAGGAAAGGTTTGGTACTGTGGTGTACATGATGGTGCATTTATGTTTGCACTCAGTATCCAGCAAACATTATGGGCTCAGCTTGGTGCTTCAGTGGATTATCTTTAGGTGAAGGATTTCATCTGTTTCCCATGCTAAGATGTTGAAACCCATGGATTTGGGCTCCTCTCTGATGAAAGGCAGAGTCTGTTGTGGTACAAGGTGCCTTTAGCTTGATCCTAGGAAGGACCCTGAGCAGTATCCTCAGGGCACTCAGACAGCTGCATGGATCTACAGTCCTTGCAACAAGAACACACAGACCTCAAGTAAGCAGCACCATGCCTGAGGACAACATAGCCTCCTCTGTCCAGATCATCAGCTCTTACACACACATACTTTCTGGAGATAACTGCACTTGGGAGAAATGCTGCTTCCCAGCAGTGTTCTATTTTTTTTTTTTTTTTTTTTTTTTTTTTTTCATGGTGGGATAGTAACAGCATTATAAGCAGAGAGAACAGTGTCAGGTTTAAAGACCAGTTCTTTAGCCCCTACTAGCTCT